TGGAGGTTCCATGCAGGTTCCATGGGGAATTGATGTAGATTTCATGCAGTTTCCATGTGCGTTATGGAGGTGATGCCTCTATCTACACTTGTTGGTTTTACCATGCACTCTGCCTGATGCAGGTTCCATGGAGGTTCCATGCAGATTCCATGCAGGTTCGAGGGAGTTGTCATGGAGGTTACCCACCAGTAAGCTAAATTTGCAAACCCAGCATGTAACCAACATGAAACCTGCATGGAAGCTCCATGGAAACTCCATGGAAACTCCATGAAACCTGCATCAGTCAGAGTACTGTAGAGGATAGGACCGCAATGGAATTTGTTTCAAGAGAAACTGTTTTCTTTCTCTGCTTTGCTTTCATGTAGATTATTTAGATAGAATAGATAGGTAAGGTCACTTGGATAGAGTAGGCATATTAGATAGATCAGATAGAAAAGGTAGACTAGGTGGATTAAATAGATTAGATAGATTAATAGACAGACTTGAAAGATTAGAGAGGTTGGATTAGATTGGCTTAGATTAGATTAGATTAGATCAGAGAAGATTAGACTAGTTTGATAGATAAATAGACAAACAAATAAATAGATAGATTATGTAGATATATGAGATTGGTTGATAGATTGATAGATTGATAGATTGATAGATTGATAGATTGATAGATAGATAGATAGATAACAGACAAACAAATAGATATATCGGATATGATATATTAGATAAGTAAATAGATAGACAGACAGACAAACAAACAGATAGACAGATACTTAGAAAGATAGATTAGATTAGATTAGATTAGATTTAGATTTAGATTAAGATTAAGATTTAGGTTTAGGATTTAGATTTAGGATTTAGATTTAGGATTTAGATTTAGGATTTAGAATTAGGATTTAGAATTAGGATTTAGAATTAGGATTTAGAATTAGGATTTAGATTTAGGATTTAGAATTAGGATTTAGCATTAGGATTTAGAATTAGCATTTAGAATGAGGATTTAGAATGAGGATTTAGCATTAGGATTTAGGATTTAGAATTAGGATTTAGAATTAGGATTTAGAATTAGGATTTAGAATTAGGATTTAGCATTAGGGATTTAGAATTGGGGATTTAGAATTGGGGATTAGAATTAGGGATTAGAATTAGGATTTAGAATTAGGATTTAGAATTAGGATTTAGAATTAGGATTTAGAATTAGGATTTAGAATTAGGATTTAGAATTAGGATTTAGATTTAGGATTTAGATTTAGGATTCAGATTTAGGATTTAGATTTAGGATTTGGAATTAGGATTTGGAATTAGGATTTCGATTTAGGATTTAGATTTAGGATTTAGATTTAGGATTTAGAATTAGGATTTAGAATTAGGATTTAGAATTAGGATTTAGAATTAGGATTTAGAATTAGGATTTAGAATTAGGATTTAGAATTAGGGATTTAGAATTAGGATTTAGAATTAGGATTTAGCATTAGGATTTAGATTTAGGATTTAGATTTAGGATTTAGAATTAGGATTTAGAATTAGGATTTAGAATTAGGATTTAGAGTTAGGATTTAGAGTTAGGATTTAGAATTAGGATTTAGAATTAGGATTTAGAATTAGGATTTAGAATTAGGATTTAGAATTAGGGATTTGGAATTAGGATTTAGAATTAGGATTTAGAATTAGGATTTAGAATTAGGATTTAGAATTAGGATTTGGAATTAGGGATTTAGAATTAGGGATTTAGAATTAGGATTTAGGATTTAGAATTAGGATTTAGAATTAGGATTTAGAATTAGGATTTAGAATTAGGATTTAGAATTAGGATTTAGAATTGGGATTTAGCATTAGGATTTAGCATTAGGATTTAGCATTAGGATTTAGCATTAGGGTTTAGCATTAGGATTTAGCATTAGGATTTAGAATTAGGATTTAGAATTAGGATTTAGAATTAGGATTTAGAATTAGGATTTAGAATTAGGATTTAGATTTAGGATTTAGAATTAGGATTAGGAATTAGGATTTAGGATTTAGAATTAGGATTTAGAATTAGGATTTAGAATTAGGATTTAGAATTAGGATTTAGAATTAGGATTTAGAATTAGGATTTAGAATTAGGATTTAGAATTAGGATTTAGAATTAGGATTTAGAATTAGGATTGAGAATTAGGATTTAGAATTAGGATTTAGAAGTAGGATTTAGAATTAGGATTTAGAATTAGGATTTAGAATTAGGATTTAGAATTAGGATTTAGAATTAGGATTTAGAACTAGGATTTAGAACTAGGATTTAGAACTAGGATTTAGAATTAGGATTTAGGATTAGAATTAGGATTTAGAATTAGGGATTTAGAATTAGGATTTAGAATTAGGATTTAGAATTGGGGATTAGAATTAGGGATTAGGCGGGATTAGGATTAGGGATTAGAATTAGGGACTAGAATTACGGATTAGAATTAGGGATTAGAATTAGGGATTAGAATTTTAGGGATTAGGATTAGGGATTAGGATTAGGGATTAGGATTAGGGATTAGGATTAGGGATTAGGATTAGGGATTAGGATTAGGGATTAGGATTAGGGATTAGGATTAGGATTAGGGATTAGGGATTAGGATTAGGATTAGGGATTAGGATTAGGGATTAGGATTAGGGATTAGGATTAGGGATTAGGATTAGGATTAGGGATTAGGATTAGGGATTAGGATTAGGGATTAGGGATTAGGATTAGGGATTAGGGATTAGGGATTAGGATTAGGGATTAGGATTAGGGATTAGGATTAGGGATTAGGATTAGGGATTAGAATTAGGGATTAGGATTAGGGATTAGAATTAGGGATTAGGATTAGGGATTAGGATTAGGGATTAGGATTAGGATTAGGGATTAGGATTAGGGATTAGGGATTAGGATTAGGGATTAAGATTAGGGATTAGGGATTAGGATTAGGGATTAGGATTAGGGATTAGGATTGGGGATTAGGATTGGGGATTAGGATTAGGGATTAGGATTAGGGATTAGGATTAGGGATTAGGGATTAGGATTAGCGATTGGGATTAGGGATTAGGATTAGGTTAGATTAGGATTAGATTAGATTAGGATTAGATTAGGATTAGATTAGATTAGGATTAGATTAGGATTAGATTAGATTAGGATTAGATTAGATTAGGATTAGATTAGATTAGATTAGTTAAACAAAAAATAAAACAAATACAAAACACACAAAACAAAAAAAACATTTTTCAAATCTATTTTGCACATAACTCTGATTTCCCAGACTTCCAGACCACCAACCCAAACCGCCATATAAGTATAACCTGACAAAAGTGGTGCCAACTACAGCAGAAAATATCATAAGCCATAAGCACATTGCTGTATAGATGCAAATGGAATTAGACTTTAGACTTCCATCACTTGCGGGTGTAAGATGCATAAGCACCCACATTATAAATCATATAATCTAGAAAAACGCGTGAGATGATAACGTTACCAGGTAAACAGGTATATGCAATCCCATCCCCCATCATAACATGTTCCCAGCGTGCGGGATCTGAAAATAGCGAAGATCCACTACACTACAACAGGGTTTCTTGGGATCAAAAAGCAGAAAGAAACATCCTGGATCCCCAAAGCTTCGCAGAAAACTGGCTGTTCTTCCATTTCCAGAGATTCCCCAATGAAGATGCATGACAAATTCTGCCACGCGCAAGAAGATGGCCATGAGTCAAAACCCACACGGATGGTACCCATCCCCAGCTGAACCGATCTTGGGCTCAAACCGAGCCAAAGGCGCTACAGGCAGCAGGCATCAGAAACATTTTCTGCGGACATGGCCACTCAGCCACGTCATCTGGGACTGATGTTCATTTATCAGGGGAATCTGGCAGCATTTTTATTTAAGATAAACAAACCTATGCAACCCAAAAATGCCCAAAGAAGATTCACAAGGTCTCACAACCCCAAGCAATCAATTCTGAAACTTGCCCTCGAGTAATCAAACATGGCAATGGAGGATTTGATTTTATGGTAAAATCATTTAAAATCATCAGACTAAATGATATATAGATTTTCCAGCAAGCCAGTTGATTATCTGAAGATCATTCCATGAATCACCCTTAGTCACCTATATAATCACCATTAAATATCATGAAAACCATGATTAACAATGGTTTCTCCGCTGGTTATGAGGATCTCCGCGCTCCTCACCAGTGTCCTCCAGGATGAAGCCGTACCTGGGTTCTCATGGCAAATACATATGGCAACATGATTTACAGATGTCATGATGAAAGTTATATAAGTTATATAAAACAATATAAAACAACCATTCACGGGAATATCATGGAGGTAATTTAATTATGGAGATATTTCACAATCTCTGGGTTTGTCCAAAAGTTGGGACAACCACGAAGAATCCATCAACATCCAGTGGTCCATCATAACCCGACCAGTTAGGGGAGACTCCTCAGTGCTGGCCACCTCTCGCCGCATTCCATGATGCTGCCAGCTTTTTCAGATGCCTCAGCTGCGCAGCCAACATGGCCAGGCTTTGCCAAGTCGCAAGCTGTGCCCCGAAATGTGCCCTCTCCATGTGGAACAGAGGTTTTGAAGAGAAAATATTGAAGCATCCTGGATAAATTGGGGATTGTCATTGTCCATTGACAAGTTAAGTTGCACAAAGATACTTTAAAAAATAATAAATACATCTAAAAACGCCAAAGGGTATGGTGCCATCCAGTTCAAAGAGATACCACAGGTCGTGAACACCCACCATTTCGATTGTCACGTAGGGATTCTGACGCATCTCCATATCACCAGCACCTGGTCAAATTTTGTTAAATCAGCAACCTTTTTAAATCAGCAACCAACCTTTCCTAACCGCAATGTACAGTGGCGTGGCAGTGAGGTACCAAATCTATGATATATCATCTATGTAGAAGCCAATTACATGTATATATATATATATATTATGTGTGTGGGCGCGTGTTATTATTGTTATTATTATATACCATCATGTACAGTAGAACTCCTGTCATTACCATCACCTTGCATTCCAAAGGGCCCAATCCTCCGCCTCCAAATTCACGTCTTCGGCCCGGGGCTTGCCCGTCTTCATGTCGGCGACCACGCGGTACAGCACCCTGGTTCCAACAGGCCTCGGTTGCGGCGGCTGCAGGTTGTTTGGGGGATCACTGCAGCCGATTTTTTCCAGGTGCTTCACAAATCTTCACCTGTTGTCACAGAAGAAGTGTACCCTCTGGTTATTTAACATAGCCATGGAAAATGGCCCATCTATAAATGGTGATTTTCCATGGCTATGTTAAATAACCAGATGGTACTACTCAGTGTAACTGCTGCAATTGCCCACTCTGACTCTGACTAGGGCAACGAAAGCATTGCAGTAAGCTTCCGGACGGAATGCCCTCACCACATGAGGTGCAGGACCCGGGTAGGACCTTGGTGCACTGGAAAGCTACGAAATCAATAGCAGGCGCCTCTTGAATTAAAAGCTGCCCAGTTTACAGATGTTTCCAGAACCTAAGGTCCTCCACCCAAAATAAATTTGCTGGACATTTGGCATGCCAGGGCTGTGGCAAACATCCTGTCTTGACCATCATCGGGCTGAATGAAACCATAGGTCGGCTGAACCTCCAAGCGGATGAAACCAAGAATCACACACATATATATATAATTATGTTATCCTCTAAAGCCATCTAAATCCAAGAGGATACAAGACTTGAATGAGTAGATCTACATGACATACAAGTTAATAAAAGGTGTTCAATGCGAACATGTTCATTTCTTTTAATTGCCCGATGGATGACCAGGGAACCAGCGCAACAACGTGCGGATCATCACTGCATGGATAGGTCTGGATCCTTATAATTCACTCTCGGCCAATACCAATACTATCAATATATAAATCCCCAATGAACCCCGGTTAAACAAATCTTTTTTTGGGAGATCATAATCCATGGCATTTGCCATGAGCAGGGGTTCCAATCATGAGCCCATGCCTGCCTGAGAAATGGTTCCAGACATCCACATGTCCATGGTGTCCATCTTGCCCATGCCACCCTTTCCGTACATCGGTTGCGGGGCAGGTGACCTAAGATAGGCGCTTCTGGATCTGGCAACGAGGATATGGCCATAGAAACATATCTCTCAGTCTTGCCCGACCTGCGTCTCCATAATTAGTCCAAAGGAAAGTTCAAGTCTAAAAGGTAAATATGCACACGATTCATCACGATTCTTTATAATCTATATATCTAGACTATTTTAAGATTACATCAACCAATTGCACCTCATCTACATTCCTCACTGCTTTGAAATCTTCCGACCACTACCATGGCACTAAGGTGCTCCCTTCAGATCCCTGAGACCCGACGCAGCTGTAGGGCTTGGTGGTGCCAGCACCATCACCTCTTCAGCCCGTGGACGTCCTGTCTTTGCGTCCTGCGGCCATCCAGCTCGTTGTGGTGTTCCCTATAATGGAAATGGGAAAACCATGGAAAATATCCTGGAAAATTATTGGGGTGGTGAAAATCATTGGGGTGGTTTCAAGGAAAATCCATTGGAAACCCATTGGGTTCACGATCTTTCACATGCTTTCGCCGTTGAATGTAGACCTCAAGAAAACTCAGAATTGCAGCAGTGGAGTTTGCACCCGGGAATATTGCCCCCCCACATCTACTTCAAACCTTGGGGTCAAACATGAAATATCTTGAGGATTTACGGAAAATATATGAACATATCGTAAAATATCTCAAAACAACCACGAAATGACCAGTCTTTTGCTCCCCAATGGCTTAATCCTTGAGGTCCCTCGGGTCCCGCCGTCGCCCTTCCTCCACCACGGTGTAGGTGACCCGCGTCCCCACGGGAGGGATTTGGCCTCCGCAGGCTCGGGGTAGGACAAACATCCTCACCTCGGCCAGGACGGTTGAGGCACCACGATTCATGGGGTGCAATCTGGCAATTCATGGGGTATAAAAATTGGAATATCATCGGGATAAGATGGGGATATCAATTTGCTAATTTCATTAAAAACATCCTAACTTGGGGGCGGACTTGAATATTCATTGGAACAACCATGTGGCACTGTGGTTGTAACCCCCATCAGTGGGATATAACCTCTACAACTACAATGCGAATGGTTAATTACCCAACATGGTAAGGTTCCCAGGGGCCACATAGATCCTTGTGCTTTTACAATTCCCATCCCAAGCTGACAAGCAAATCACAGCATAGTCTTGTCAGATCCTTGCATCGGGATGGGGGCCAGAATCTGACAGCTCAGCCCAGATTGTGGGCATTTGTAGTGTTTGTGGCATCAACTGTTATCAACACTTCTTGTGGAAGTACTGTTCCAATTCGGTGGGGTGCCAGAACCCTGTTCGGAGAAGGCACCCAAGTTTCGCATGCTTCGACCCACCTCGGCACGGTGGCACCACACAAAATTGAGCTCAGCGGCTTCCGTTCCATCCTGGGTATCTTGGCTGATGAAGCCGAACTGCCCGCAACCTGAGAACAGGCATGACATGGGAAGTTCCCAGTGCTTTATTTCTTTCCTGGAGGAATCTGGAAAGTGATTTTCGATCCTCGAATCCTTTTACTCCCCAAAATGCATGTCATTAAGAGTGATGCCCCATAATCCATACTGGTGAGGCATCGATATCGTATAATCATAGATTCTGAGCTATCTCACTTGCCATCAATCTGCGAGGCTTCTCAATACCTGGCTGAGCTACCGACTCTTCACCACAGTCCCTGCGAAGAAGCCTGCTTGTGTCGCCTGGGCAGCATTCTGCACTTAGGACCTGGGATTGATATACTGTGTCTTTATTGCTTCACCCATACCCATACGCCAAACAAGCACACAAAGAACATGAAAAAACAAACGTAGAAGTAGAAGTATACCAGTGCTACCGCACAAGGCGGTGGCGGAAGTTTCAAAGATAAGACACTATAGGAGAGGTGAGTTGTTGTGACACACGGATGGCAGAGTGAATCCACTGATGGACCGAAAAGTGGTTGGAATTGTGTTTTTTGGAGTGGTTGCAGTGGTTTCAATGGTCACCTCACCCGCAACTGCTGGATGTAGTGTGGTGTAGCGCAGTTGTAGTTGTAGTTGTAGTGAAATTAGTGTAGCTGTAGTTGTAGTTGTAGGGAAGTGTAGTGTCATTAGCGTAGTGTTGTGTAATGTGGTGTAGTTGTAGTGGTAGTTGTAAAGTTGCAGCTGTAGTTGTAGTGTAATGTAATTACAGTAGTTTGTAGCGTAGTGTACTGTAATTTAGTTCAAGTTGTAGCTGTAGCTGTAGTTGTAGTTGCAGCTGTAGTTGTAGCGTAACTAGTCTAGTGTGATGTAGTGTAGTGTAGTGTAGCGTAGCGTGGCGTAGCGTAGCGTAGTGTAGTGTAGTTAGTGTAGTGTAGTTAGTGTAGTGTAGTGTAAGGTAGCGTAGTATATTTGCATTTGTAGTTGTAGTAACTCGTAGTGTTGTGTACTGCAGTCGTAGTGGTAGTTGTAGTTGTAGTTGTAGTTGTCTATCTATCTATCTATCTATCTATCTATCTATCTATCTATCTATCTATCTGTCCGCAAGCTTGAAAACGAAGCTATTCTGCGAGACTTGCTCAATTTTCGAACTGGACAGCATCAAAAACACAGCAATAATTCTGCGCGACTTCCCCAATTTTCGAAGTAGACAACATCAAATACGAAGGCGTTCTACGAGACTTCCTTCAAAAATGAAAAGTTGAGAGCAAAGCTGACGGCCTCGTACCAATACGCGTTGCGATTTTTCAATTCCACCTGTTTAAAAGTACTGCGCTTGCCACGAAAAAGTGCAGCCAGGTCATACGAAGTGCTGCTCCTGTCACGCAAAATCATCTTAGCAACCTGAAGATCTCATGCTCCAAAATGCAACCCCTCTCGGGAAATCTCCGCCCTGACCTCTGCTCTGTATTGCGCCTGCTACGCCAAATGCATCTTACGGATCCTCTTCAAATGTCCCACCTGCCATAGTTTTTGGAAATGCTACAAATCCCTCACGTTTTGCTCACTTTTGACAAGGTGCGCAATCCCTTGGGCCTTCCACGCGAAACGCCATCTGAATGTGCTCCGTACTAGTACCCGTCAATTTTTTTTGCACTTTTGACTTCGAAACGTGCTTCGCGCCACACAACGGCGTGCGCTTTTTCGACATGTCAACTTCTAAAAGCGGTCTGAGACCGTCAGTTTTTTTACACTTTTGGCTTCAAAGTGTGCTTCGCGCCACAACGGCGTGCAATTGTTTATCTCTCATCTGGCCAGCTGGCTCCGCACCCGCCGCTTTAGCGAGCCTACTGTTCGACCCTCCAGAGCCACAAATCATTGGAAAAACACAGTGTTGCGCGACTTTTCTACCTTTTCGCGCACCTGCATCTTCTTTCTTCTGACTCTGTCTCTTCTCTGATCTTCTTTCTACTGACTCTTTCTCTTCTCTGACTCTTCCCACCTCTGCTTTCCATCTGTCCACATTATCGGAAGTTTGACTTCTAAACTTCCTTCGATTATATAGTAGACTATCTCATAAATGTGGTTAACTGGCAAACCCAATTTTATCAATTTTATAGACAGTCCCTTTGCTGGGTTGGTAAAAGCAACAACGAACACAGTGGCGTACTATGGCGTACTGTTGGCCACATCAACGTACGTTTTTAGAAAAACAGGTGTATATACACCCCATCCATGGCAACATATGAGCCATGTTCTAAATGTCTTACATCCTGGCACCAAATAAGGAAATGCTTACGACATTGCTTACCTTTTGCTACGAGCGAACAGGTTTTGCTTGTGCGCATATCTTGTCTTACGCGGAGCTTACGCTGGCTTACGCATACCACAGTTTTGCTTACGCCACAGCCTTACAAGGGGCCCCTTGCTTAACATGAACACAAGGGTTCAAAACGTGGCTCACATGAAAGCATGCAACTACCAGTGCCCAACCAAGAGGTTGACCCCGATCGCTGATGATAGCAACACCCAAAATGATAAGATGGAAGCCTTGAGATTGGAGTATGAAGGGAAAACATCAGCCATATATCATCCATAGCATCCTGGAAATGTGCGTTCTATCTTTTTTGGGGACTACATTAACGTCCCCTCCCAAAACTGCTGAGGGAAATCTGAGTGGTTCCGGCCGGTCGTACGTCTTCCGCCCGCAGTTTTCCAGTCTTGGAATCCGTGACAACGTCAAACTCCACCGTGGTACCCACCGGCGGGATCTGACCAAAGGCACCTTGGAACAGCATCCACCAGCCACTTGGGCAATGGCTTGGAACGTGGTTTGGAATCTGCGCGTCTCAACATGAATGAAAAGGGATCTGAACTCGATCAAAAATTGCCAAGCCAAATTGCCAATTGAAGTTTGGTTGAATTTGAGTGATGTCTTGCTAGGTGTTTCTCAAAATGGGGGATCCCCAAAACACATGGTCAACACCAGAATGCTCAAATTGTGATAAACTTTGGATGATGACATTCTGGTGTTAATTTGTGATGTCATAATTTGACCATTCTCACAATTTGTCACAATAAATTTGTCATGGTCAATGATGGGGAGTGCACCCATTCAAAGAAACAGCACAACCTCGAGGTCAGGACCGCCATAGAAAGCTCCGCAGGAGGCTGGAAGGACCTCACGGTAGGACCCACTTGGGTCTGAAAATCGAGCTGAAACCCCCAAATTGGGTGCTTAATCATCATTGCTGGCTTTTTCCAATGGCCATTGGGATCCATTTGCACGGTAACCCCATTTTCAGCCACACCCAGTTGAACTGCAAACTTGTCACCATCTGGCGCAGCCGCCTGGCCACTAGGAGCCAGGCGAACATGGACTCTCCGTCTTCTTGGTCGATGAAACCAAAGCCACTGCCTCGCCCGTTTTGCCGTGGTCCCATTTCCATTGGCTCAGCGCTGCCTATCCAAAGGATCAATTTCTGAAACCGACGACGCCGAGGACCCCACAAATGCGTGAAACCACCTCGAAACAAGGCCGGCTCAAAGTGACTCAATCATCCGCCCATCAATAAATTGATGAATCATCCATATTATAATATCCATGAACCATCCGTCTACCGCATATACATATCATTCATATAGTCAGTCAGGACTGATTTCCATTGATCATCATAGAAAATTATCATGGAATATGATAAACAATATATATATATATAGCATCAGTCATACATTGCAGCATTCAATCATAAGATAGTATAAGTATCCACCGAAGTTTTCAGGACTTCCCATCACCGGCGTTTCAAAGTCCAGGTGCCAGGCCCCCATTCGGCCACCGATGCCACCGATGCCACCGGGACTTCCCATCACCTGGGGCTTCAGCCAGCTTCCAAGGCTTAGCGAAGCGCTCTGAAAAGTGTTGAGTCAAGATGGGTTTTTATCTGAAAACTTTAAGTTTATCATTCTGTTGAGCTTAATAGTTTGCCTTTTTGGATGGTATTTATTATGCACCATTGTCATCCCAGGTTGGAAAGGAAACATGTTTGAAACCAGCCACCTCACTGTGACTCACTCAGCTTTGGACGTTCGTGGGTGGGTCACCAATCCTTTGCGATGGCAATATGTGATGATTAATAGTACCCATCAATTATTGATTAATGGTAATTAAACATAAATAATCCATCACTCTATATATATATATATACTGCTTGGTGACTGACCTACCCCTCTGAAAAATATGAGTTCGTCAGTTGGGATCATATGGATCATTATTCCCAACTGAATGGAAAATTAATTCATGTTCCAAACCACCAACCAGCTAATAATCATCCTGATAATAACCCCAAGGGGATGACTTATTAGGCATTGGGTTGACCACATTCATGAACCTACAATTTTGCTGTGTCAGAATCCCCCTGAATGGTAAAAAGATTGTGAAAAGTTATCAAAATTCCATGTGGCTCATGATTGGCTGTGCCATAGTACGTGATCATAGACAAATGGTGTTTTGGTCCTGCCAGCAATGTTTGCCAAAGGGTCATCGACATCGCCCAGAGGTAAACACCATATAAACACCTCACAAGGATCAAAGTGCGACCTGCCTGCGCCACGCTTGTGGAATGTCATACTTCATAATCTTCATAATATATGGTAAGATATGGTACTGCAATGTGGGGCCACCAAGTTATAAGTTGGTTTATAAACCCCACTAACTATAGTTATAAGTTATAAGCACCATAAACCATAGTTATTGGAGTTATTTGCACCAACTTAGCTATCGAACGGGGGTCCCACATGGGACCATGAACCCAGGCCGAAGCTGTCCTGAGAATTTCGGCAGGTGCCACGGGAACACCTGCGATTTGTAAAACACCGGCCATCCACTTGGCCACGGGAAGCCTCTGGTGTTATCAAACATGGCAAGCTGGGAAATCCCAGCTTGTGAGAAGTAAATGGAAGGTTTCTAGCTGGGAATATCACCTATAAATGAGGAATGTTCGAGCCATGGCCGGAGCCCACCCAACAATAAGACACCATCCATTAGGTACCCGGGTACCCCATGGCTATTGACTTTCCAAATCGTTTTTTTCCATGTTTTTACCACCTCACAATATAACTCCAAAACGATAGACGTTGTTATAATCCCAAAATAGTGATAGATTGTGATAGGTCTGATAGATTGATTCGTCGATTTTTTCGGGGGTTACCCTCTGGTAATTTAACATAGCGATTGAAAATGGTCCATTTATAGTTGATTTACCTATTAAAAATGATGATTTTCCATAGTTATGTTACTTTACGCGAGGGTATCGCATCCGGCCTTGCCCGGCTTCCGGGTAGATATTATCCGCACGAGGGCGCCCAGTCTTCTCATCCATAACAATCTGAAAACCTCGGAGTGCGGTGTTGAGGTGATGATCCATGGCGTTTTGCACTGAATTCGGAAGAATCACCTTCATATTATATAAGATGCATGTATGAATATGTACCTATCTCATCCTATCTCTCCCAAATCTGATTAAATCTATATAATCTATCCGAATCCATTCCGAGCCATTCATGAACAATATCCATTGAACATCATTGAACATTGCCCTTTTGGGCGCCACTGGGGTGTTCCTGGGGCCCGGCCAACTCTCATCCCTCTTGGCGGCATGCCATGGAATGCCTTGAAACCTGCGATGAGTTCTTGAGTTTTTTGGCGGTGGGAACGTTCAGCATCTTAGGCACAGATCGATTTATCCTGATTTCTCTGATTTCATCATTTTCGGAGGGTTAAGTTAAGCTGGCCTTCGGAAAATTGGGGTTATCACAAGTTATCAGTGTATTTGCCACGTGAATCACGAAAGGCTGGCAGTGGCATGCAGTTCGAATTCTATAGCCCCAGCAGAACCACGTTCAAATCCCCTTGGTCTACAGTACTGAGTAGTACTACCACCCCAATGGCCCCATGGCGACCTCGGGGCATGAAGAAGATTTCATCTGAGGAATCGTCCGGCTGAATGAAGCCAAAGTTTCCTTTCACCCTCGACACTTGACCTGCGCGGTGAGCCCCGCATGGAGCTCATTCTCCCAGCCACTTGTTGGATGTTGCCATCTGCATTGGTCCGTTTTAAGGACAACTGCAGCTGCAGTGCCTGTATAAACTTCTCCCGGAGCCCTCTGCACATCTGGCCTCGGTCAAGTCAACTTTGGGAGGTAATACACTCGAATATAATTGGGAGGGTGTCATTTGAGGATCAAATGAAATTACTCTTTGGGGGGTACCCCCTGAAAAAAAAACAGCAATGGTTTAATCCGGGGTTGACATTATAGGATGATATTCGGGTCTCAGTCAACAAGTCGACAAGTTGTTTCTCCAGGATGTTTTCGAGGTTTCCAACTTTTCTATCTATGACTGGGGGTCCCGTTGTATTTTGGATACCCGGCCTGGTAAACATACAAAAAGCTATTGAAAATGGCCATTTATAATATCTATAGTGGATTTTCCCATTAAAAATGGGGATTTTCCATGGCTATGTTAAATAACCAGAGGGTATTTTGGATAAAACACATGCTTTGCGTGATTCCATCATGTTCTATCTCATTGTCGTACACCAGGCATCGGTCAAACCCTTGTGGAGACAGTAGTGTTATGACCCGCGCCATTTTGTCTGCGTGGTTTGGAACGTCCCCCATCACAATCAGGCATGACAACAGCGGTGCTTGATACAATAGACATGTAGAACACTATCAAAATTGGAAGGGAAGACGCGTCCTACCTTTTTGGGACTCTCGACTGCATCACCATTGGGTTGTATTATTTTCAATTTTCACCATTGCGGTTGCATATAGCTGATTGGTGTAAACCCTCCCGGATCAATATACCCACCCAAGGTTTACCTCCCGCCATATCAAAACCATATCAAATAGAACAAACCTTGGCGTGTTTGAGTAAGCAGTGTTCAAAAGCCTTAAAGTCATTCTATATAGTCATTCCATTGTTTGGAATTACCAAAGTCGATGATGATCATCCCCAATATATTGAATAGTTTTTGGATAGTATCACCCCTGAATCAGCAACCAGTATTGGGACAGTCCAAGTGACTGCTCTCGCTTCACGGATTGTCTTTCCGGACCTGGCGGGTTCATCCCCAATGTTCTCCCAATGGAACACCCGACAATTTTTTAAAAAAGATAGGAAAAGGACAGTCCTACAAAATGTACTGAATAGATCTATCTGATAAATACTTCATTAAGAATGACTTTTCATTTTTTTTCGGGGGGGGTGCTTTGGGTTAGTGTTTTCATTCCCGAGCTTCCATCGCCTGAGTGCTTTGTGTGGATCCCACCTTGCCCAACCGGACATCTTCGCGCCTGCTTCGGCTCCGAACTGGGGGCGAACCTAAGGAATGTCAATGGACGAAACCATGAATCTGAGCATCAATATATCAATAATGGTTGGTGATAACCAAAAGTCATTGGGTAAAATGGGATTATAACTTGCAATGGTTGGTTTATGGTTGTTTATAATTCACAATCTGATTGGGTATCAATGGCCATTAACCAACCATTGGAAATGATCTCTCCACACTATATATATATATATACACCCAATGACCTCTTATCCCAACATGTCATCATCCACTGAACCTGGCGCTCAACCCAACAAAGATCCGCACGAAGTCTGCTCGGGGTCGGCCAGTCTTGTTGTCCATCACAACCTGGAAGAAACGCATCAAGAAACACCAAGTTGCCTTGGTTGATGCAAATGTTCTACAAATCGTCTACGGGTGTTTTTCCCAGTTTCCTTTCTTTGCCTTGTATGCCGAAGTTGCTTCTCCCCCAAAATTCTGGCAAAAGTGTAACACTCATCGTTTCTATAGAACATCCCCATCCCTCAAAATTGTGAATCTAACATTCTATCTGAAGATTATTCCCACTGAGTCTTCGTGGATACCTTCTTCCTCCCTTTCAGGCATGATCTGCCATTCCGGAGAGCCACCCATCGCCCAAAAAGAATCAACGGAGATCATTCTATATCATTATCCCGTTCTTGTCCATGTGGTGGCATGGAAAATCGATGTGTTAAAACCTCCGGCCAGAATAGTTTGGCCATCCAACTATCCCTGAAACTAGCTGAATGTCTTGCCATATCTCCACTATTCACAGGTCACTCATGTTTTCCTCGGCTGCGCCTTGAACTTCACGGGTGTCTGAAGTGGAGGTATCCGTCCACCAAATGCAGAACATGCAATTGGCATGACCTGGACGATGCAGAAATTCATCGGGACACCCACAGCTTTTTCGATGGTTTTACCCTCTGGTAAACGTTTACATAGCTATGGAAAGGTCCACCATTTTTCATGGGAAAATCCACTATTTCTATGGCCATTTTCAATAGCAAACTGTTAGTTTACCAGAGGGTAAGCTTCAGAACGAATGAGATTTTGAAGCAAACAGTGGATCAACACCCGATCAGCCCCTGGGTTTCTCATCAATTTTGCTAGTTTTGGATGGTCATCACCCAAAAAGAATCAAAAGACGCTGCAAATGGGTATTGTTGGCATTTATTTTTGCCTCTGGATTTCAGAAGCTCACACTTCGCCTCAGATTTTTTTTCCCCTCGAGGCTCCAACAAAAACACGATCGTCTTTCCCGTCGACCTGGATGAATCCAAAGGTCCCATTGTCCTCGGCCACATTTCGCAGCGTGAACGCAGAAACAACCAGTGTGCTGCCGGAAGGAGATGACTTTGTGCGCCCGAATTTTCATTTCGAATTCTTCATGAATGTTCTTTAGGATCCCCTTTTACTGAAAGGCTAAAGGTTGACAGGGACTCCATGGATAACCAATGAGTGTTTGGGCCGAGTGCTTAGGGAACCTCCATCATCTTAGATGAGCGCTGCTCAGGCACCGGTTGCCCAGGAGTCTCTGGCATTGTAATTTCAATGGTGAGTAATTCAGTCACTATCCACTATCTATGCCTTGTGGTTAGAATTGCTGCTGGATTTAGCTTGCTTAAGGAGCCCCAAGAATGAACCAAACATGACCCAAACGTGGCTCACTCAAAAACAGGAAACCCCAAGATCTCATGGCGCACCATGGTCCGGAGATATGTCCCGAGTAGGATTGCCACTGTGGGACATCTCCAATGTTGAAACACACCTCCCAAAGCGCCTTGTCAATGGTGCCCAGAAAGTCATGGTCCTGTGGCTTGGATCATCCTTTGGGAACTGGTCCGACGACCTTCGGTCGTCAACATAGCTGGGAAATCCCCTTTTAAATGGAGATATCTAGCTGGGAAATAGTCAGTCTCAGCAAGGCATGTTTGATTACCAAAGGGTGCCCAGTATCACCAATGTGTTTCTGTTTTGTCGTTTTCTCTTGAGGACAACCCCGGTGAAAGCCATAGAGGACTTGGTAGCAATGGTTACTAAGTTCCTACCTATATGCTGGCTGGGAAGTAGCAAAGGGCCGACCCTGCGCCACAACGGTAGCCCTGGAATCAAAATATAGCTGGCGGATTTTGGGGAGTTGTCTATTCACATAGCACGTTGATGCACCTTGTCTCATTTGGTATGACCCTGCAATAAATTTGCCACAGTGCACCAGCCAGGGTTCACGTGATGCAAGTGTCGCAAATTGAACCATGCTAGGCATAGCAAAAAATGGATCCCAAAACTCAGCTAAGTCCGTGGTTTCAATATAGGTATGTCTAAAATGATTCCAAGAGCGATGCCCTCGAACCCCTTGGTGTCCTTGCTTCCAATCCACTTTATAAATGTATCGGAAATATTCGGAAATACAAAACCCAAATTTGCAGAACAAATTTGAAGCGTTTGCCGGTCGGAGTTGAAGAATATTGCGAGAACTGTTGCTCGTTGTTTGGGTTTGGGTTTCAACTTAGAATTCCATTTAATCATGAGCGCACTATCATTCCCGTATAAACGCAATTGTGTATTGTTTTTTTACCTCATGGCAATGGAAAATCCGGCATTCATAGATGATTCCCGGCTAGAAACCTCCATTTCATTCGGGGATTTCCCGTTGTCACTATGTGTTTGCTGATAAAAAGCGCCCGCTTGTGAACAGTCAAATGCCTCAGCTGGTCCTCGGGGAAGACATCAGCAGCCAGGGTCTCGTGAGAACCATCCTCCTAAGACGGGAACTGAAACCCGGTGCATTCGAGAGTAGAACACTTGCAGAAATAGATTAGGGGATGCAGCATATATATATATATATATACATATGATTATATATGATAAAATATGTTTAAATATGGTTATATATATATAATTACTATATGTGATTATATACGGTTATATATGATTATATACGATTATATATGTTTATATATGATTATATATGATTATATATGATTATATATGATTATATATGATTATATAAATGCATGATTCTATATGATTATATAAATGCCTGTACATCTGTAAATTTACATGTGTAATTAATATGTATGTGCGTATATTCAAGAAACATGTGTGACAATTGTATGCACATATAACCATATATATATATATATACATATGTGTGGTTGCACATAGGTAGATTAGCTTGCATTAGATCACATTAGACCGGTTTTGATTTGATTTCGTTTAAATGAAATTAGATGAATACATGAATATAAGATGAACATAGCCTAAAATGGATGAAAGGACATGTGAATACATGTGAATACTAGATAGTACTCAGCAACGATCATTGCATGCTCATGGCATGGCATACCTCGGGGTCATCTTGGCATATCACTTGAATCCTACTGTGGATGAACGAATTCCTGCACCAGTTGGTAACTATTGGTAACTGGTAACTATAAAACACTGTAAATAATGGGAATATAATGGCATAAACCATCTACCAACTGGTGCAGGATTTCGCAACCACCCACACTGTGAATCCGTTGTAAAAAAAAAAAAACGGCACTGAGACGACAAAATTTCAATTTCATCAAACAAATGAATCAAAATGAGGGATATAGGGCTATTCCATTGCCTTGTTTGATTATGTAATGATTATGATTGCCAGAGGGGATCGCCGATGATTTTTTCCAGGGCTCTTCCGCATCACCACAGCTGAGGCGTCGACCTGCTGGGTGCTTTGTCGATAGACAACTCGAGTGCGCACCGGAGGAATGGTGAAATCGAAGCCGACGCAAGCGTTTGGGAGGACAGCAGCGGGCTCCTGCGACTGCATAGTTCGTGAGCTGGCTGAAACAGCTACTAATGTGGGTTAAAAAAACCACACCCATTTGGGAATGGTAAACATACACTGGTGAATGGTTCATGATGGTTCATGATGGTTCATGATGGTTCATGATGGTTTATGGCATTGTTTTACCCACCTAAAAATTGCTATATATTGGTATCATAGATAGATCATGATAGATCTTACTAATTAGCTATGTTGCCATTGGCTGTTTCCAGGCTCCTCACCCGTGTCAGGCTCAATATAACCCAGCCTTAGACATCGGCAATCTGCGCCATTGGCGGCAATTTTCTGGTGGACATCCCTTTCTAGTACCCATAGGATCCATGGTGCTGGTATATGTATGGTATATATGCTAACATGACTGGGGTATATTGATGGGATCCATGTTACCATATATAGCAGCACCATGGATCCAGATTGTGGTATTTTTTTTACTGACTCTGACTCTGACCTGAAAGATCCTTGAAAATCCTTGGAGAAGTTGGGCTCTCCCCATCTCCGAGTGACCCTTCCTCCGAGGTCCCAACGTGCTCTCAACTTGCTGCACCGTGCCAACCCTGCGGATGGTGGGCACCCAGGACCCAACTGGGAAAGGATAGATTAATGGATGAAAGAACAGCTTACACCATGGTGCCACAAAACCATGTATGCAGTATACAGTTCCATTTACGTATATACAGAATATATATTTTGATCTATTACCACATCAATAAACACACATATGTATATATTATATAAACTACTAATACATATCACAAATATGATATGACATGTGTCTGCACCTTCTGAAAGCACCAACCAATACCAAGAGTTACAGTGATGAAACCCTCTGGGCATAGTGATTCCGAAGCAACACGACCCATTCTGCCTGATTTGGGTCCCCAAGGGCCGCATAGGGCCGCAAGGTCTGAATGGATTTGTTGGATTTGATCCAAAACTGGGAGATATCCGTTATTGGCATTGATGGTGGGTGGTTGACCTACCCCTCTGAAAAATATATGAAAGTCAACTGGGATGATGAAATTCCCAATTATGTGGAAAATGAAAAACATAGAATTTTCCAAACCACCAACCAGATGGTCATATTTTTAATGGGAATTCCAGGATCCTAAAATGGAGGTACTGTACCATATAAGGCTATATTTTGTGGGGATATTCCCTTACAATGGCCATTGATATTTGGCCACATTTGATCTTCGGAATGCTTCTGCCTATAAGAACCACAGCAGGCATCAAGGCCTCAGAGAACCTTCGGCCGCCATCTCTTTGTGGTCTGCCTCTGGTTGGTCACTTTGGATCCCAGGGCTGACCATTAAAACATGAAGCCACCAAACCAAATAGAAAAGGATTACAAGCGAAGGAAGTGAAATTTGAGGTTACAGCAAAGGGATGCAAAAGGCGTTTTGCATTCACTGACCTCGTTTTGATCACCGACCTCGCTTTCAACACTGCGCATATTTGTTTAAAACAACACATGCGTCCTCAATTTTGACCTACCTGGCTTGTTTGAGGCGGTTCCACTTCGTTTTAGACCAAATCCTGGGGGCAAACAAAAAGTAAGTGTTTCCACCCAAAGAGTACAACACAAAGCCCTCCTCTTGCCAACTAATTGTTGGCATTAGCAGGTCTTGCAGGCTCAACATCACCCAATCAGCCCAACCTACTGCAATTCCCATTGACAAACATGTCCACTTGGCTTGAGATTTTCCGCTCCTTTCATCAGTTTGGTAAAGCCAATCTGAATCACATTTCCGCGCACGGTCTTTTCCTCCCAAGCTGATTGGTATATCTGAGGTCACACTCAAGTGCACTTAGTGCCTTGATAGTGCTTGAAGAGAGCATGAAGGGAAACCACTTCCAGGCCCAACAGCATTACCCAACGATGTGCTTTCAATCCCTGTTTCCCATCTAGAGTGGTTTCGCTTACAGCGAGTGTCGCACCACAGGAACACACCTGTCTGACACTGCATCTCATCATTCGGTATCTCCTGACAGAGTTGGCAACATTTGGCAACACATCCCCGCATACTATCATAAAAATTCTTAAAGTCGAATAAAATTCATTAGGTTTTGATTCATCCCCATACGAGGCCTCATGACCAAGACTCAAGGGATAAATAATGATAAATACATAGCACTACGATGAAACACACATTCTCTAGCTGCTCTAGCTTGGGCCAAGGGTCGGCTCTCGCGCTTTCTGCCCTTTTTCCTAAGGAAACCGCAACGTTGCGCTGTTGCTCCGGCTGGGGATTTCCAGGCAGGGCAACTGATTCCCAGGAAATCCCAATGACTCATGGATTGAATTAACCCTAGGTGAATTGTGGATAATTATCACTTATCAGCATAAAACTATATAAACAATGGTAAGTATAGACTATAGAATGATTTAAACATATTTAAAATATGTCTCTTGACTTTCCTGGATTGTTTCAATTCGGAGAAAACTGGTATACCCAATTTGCAACAACCTTCATGGAAAAACATGATGATGTGGAACCATTGGGCTTCACTGACGATTTGATGCACCTGCAGAGCCTGTAATTGATGCTCACTTGACGTGAGACTTGGCCGTCTGACTTGACTTATGTCATGTTGAAAATACAGTACATGAAAATACTAGTTGAAATATGTTGAAATTAGGGAACCAAAATCATGAGCTTTGGCTAGATTGTTGATTTCCGAATCTAGCTGAAGCCTCTCCTCCTCCCCTTTTTTTCCGGCCAAGCGTCTCTTTCTCCACCACGTTTGCCCCCAAAAGGTCGTCCCCAGGTGCCTCATCCTCAGATAGAGTGAGTTCCTAGGGCTTAAACTTTGAGCATCTTTGACCCATGCCCGCTTCCAGAACCAGCTTGCGCGGATCTAGCGCATGTAAAGGTTTTAAGCGCCTTGACTGTGAGTTGATGTGAGCTGTGCCTGTCAAATGCCAAGTTGGAAGCTACCACTGGCATCAGATCTCGATTGCCGCTGGGATTCTTTCACCACTCGCACCGAGACAGCCTCAAGAATGGTGGGATCTTCATCCTGAGCCGCGGCCGACTTTCGCCCCAATGGGGGTTGATTGAGTCCCTACGGCCCTACGTTGGGGTTGATTTCACATGGGCTGTGGGATCAACCAAGGCCTGCCTCCCCGGAAGATCTCTTGCCTTTCTTCTCCTGTAGATCTTGGCCGGGCAATCCGTGTTGTTTTTTTGGTCCATTGATGATGTGACTGTCACAAATGTCACAAATGTCACAAGCACAAAGGTCCTTCTTCTCTTTCTTTTCTTTCTTCTCCTTCTTGTCCTTCTTGGTTTTGGGATTGTCGCCGATCTCTACTTCAACATTCTCGATAGTGTCCTGGGCCACAGCGAGCAACTCAGCATTTGTCTCCCAGACCTGAGATTTAGAAAAGCCTTGCACGTCATGGAAAAAAAACCATCGAAAAAACAAAAAATATATGTCGAGATATGTCGAGTTTCCCATGTTTCCCTAAAACCAATCAGAACAAATGATGTTGTTGTATAATTAAATTCCTTTCATAATTATAGTTACTTTAGTTTGTTTGATCTTGACTCCATGAAAATCCATAATATTCTGTAAAAACGTACCTACCAAATCACTGGCTTTCGCTTCCGCTGGCCTCTTGTTGGCGACCCACCATAGTGGCCTGCGCGCCTGGCGTGGCCATGACATATTTTGTATGTGCCCGTTGTGCCATGCCATGTACATAGGTACATTACATTACATTAAATAACATTACATTACATACATAACATAACATTACATACATAACATTACATACACATGCCATACCATACATACATACATACACATACATTACAGTACATACATACCATTACATAACATTACATACATACCATACATACATACAATACATACCATTACATAATACCATTACATACATACCATACATACCATACATACATACCTACTACATACCATACATACATACATTACATACATACATACATTACATACATTACATACATTACATACATTACATACATTACATACATTACATACATTACATACATACATACATTACATTACATACATTACATACATTACATACATTACATACATTACATACATTACATACATTACATACATTACATACATTACATACATTACATACATTACATACATTACATACATTCATACATTACATACATTACATACATACATTACATACATTACATACATTACATACATTACATACATTACATACATACATTACATACATTACATACATTACATACATTACATACATTACATACATTACATACATTACATACATTACATACATTACATACATTACATACATTACATACATTATACATTACATACATTACATACATTACATACATTACATACATTACATACATTACATACATTACATACATTACATACATTACATACATTACATACATTACATACATACATACATTACATACATTACATACATTACATACATTACATACATTACATACATTACATACATTACATACATTACATACATTACATACATTACATACATTACATACATTACATACATTACATACATTACATACATTACATACATTACATACATACATACATCCATATATATATATATATAGATATAGGCATAGATATAGATATGCATGTGTGTGTGTGTTTCTTTATTTGTGCATTTATTTAATGCATTTATATTTTGACAATAGTACTAATTAATATATATATATAATATATATATGTTGGAATGGCAATCGATGATTCCGTAAGAACATGTTGCAACAAGGATATACGATATTTACTGCACCCTCCAGTGCATACACACAGAATAGGAACATCCTCCATTTGTAGATCGGTTCCAAGGTAGTCATTCGTGGAAACCACCATCCCTCCCCCCAAAAAAAACATGACGAAAATAATCCACACATATTCATAGCCAGTTGGATCTGCAACGAAGAATCATAGGACATGTTTTGGTCGATGGCTAGTCCGTTGCCGCCCAGGCCAATGCCTCCATCTGCACCTGCGTCGATCAGATTGGCCTTCTCCTTGATCAAGCTGCGGGATAATTTCAAAACATCACAAAATGTTCACTTTAAGATCTTTAAGAACTCCTGAAGAACGACATCCCGCTCCTGGAAGTTTCGGTTTTTCCTCTTATCTCTCGCCTTCTTGGCGCGAATCCGCGCATCTTTGGCGCGGTCGACTCCTTTTGCACCCAGGTAGACGCCACAATTCCTGCCGACGTGGGGTCTCCCCATTGCCAACTCCATGAGTGCTTGTTGGATCAGGGATTTCTATCTCCAGTGAGCTTGGTAGTGATCCTCGAGAATCATAGATAACGATGGAAATTACAATTGGAAGTCCTGCCTGCAAGCATCCACCATCATGCATCTGGGTACATTATAGTACTTCGCCAACTTTCTCTTGCTGGGTCATTTTGGGATATTACAGTAATGTTTCATTTCAAACCATCAATTACGTTGTGACATCGCAGCCAGGCCGCGATAATTTGCCCAGAAAACTTAGGCATAAATTGTACCATTGTTGATTCATGTTGGTTATGTATCCCATGATGCCCCCCTCATCGTGGTTCCCCCCTCCTCATGAGACGCGCGAAGCAACCCGTGGCCGGTGGCCCCTGGTCGGTGGTCGTGGCTACATCTTCCATGGCGTTCTTCCTGGCAGGTTTGGATCTCAAAGACGTGATTTCTTCCCTTGTTAAATACACCGAGAAATCTGGTTCAATATTGGAGCTTCATTTTGAGACCCCATATGGCAGATAACAGTTATTTAAAACAATTCAATCTTAGGTGGTGATGATTTTTGCCATAGCCAAACGACCAAACGCCCTGCCATAAACTGGGTTGGCGGATGCTGGAGGAATTCTGAGTTGATTCCACTTTCCAACATCCCCAACATCCCCAACATCCCCAACATCCCCAGCCCTTCACGGCCAAGTGGCTGCACGTGTCTCACCACCATAATGCCCAACACGGCACAACAGGCGATGACGCCACCGGTGCTGCCCACGATGATGGCCAACATCTGCATCGACACTTCCGCAGAGGGTGCGAAGAAGTTGGCGCAGTCCGTGGTGGCCTCGAAAGTATCCAAACGACATGAAACGACGACCAGGCGTTGGATGACAAAAAAAGATGGGGAGCCATCCAAAGAATGAGAAAATTCATCCAAAATCCATCCAAAATCACGAAATGTCGGCAATTTCAGTGCCGCATCCTCCAGCTTGCTCAGCGAAATGTATCAAAATCTGGCCAAGAAATGCAGCCAACGTGCATTTCAAATGCCACAAGAATCCACAAGGTGGTAGCTAGGTTGGTTATAAACTCCTTCTTGTGTTTATGGATGGTTTATGGCAATTATCTCCATTGGATATCATAACCGACTCTCCCATATGGAGTGGCAGCCATGGCACCACCCTGTAGCTGCCGATGCCAAGTTGCAGTGGCGGTGGTGGGACATTTGCCATACTTGTCAGCTGAATCTATGGGACTCACCGTCTCACAGCCGCCATCTGTGGTTCCGTCTAAGTTCAACGTGTCCTGAAAAAAAAGGTCCCTGAAAAATGGCATGGTGCAATGGATGAAACTGCCAAGAAAATCTGACGGCTTTGAACTTTTCATCGACCTATCTCTCTCTCTCTCTCTCTCTCTCCATCGCCATCCCGAGGGTATCGACCTATATCTGTGTGCTTTTTATACTTGTCATATACTTATCATATATACATATCTCATTGTATATTATATATATATATATCTCTCTCTCTCTCTCTCTCACTCTCTCCCTCTCTCTCTTTGGGGGCTAAGTCTTGGCCCCAACAAAACCACAAAACCTCGTCTGTAAAGACGCGACATCCAAAACCTCCAAAACCTGCCTCGTCTGAGAACAGCATCAAGGCGTACCAAATGGAATGCGTGTACATATGGCATTGATCAAAGGCCTTGGCAGAAGCCATGAGTCAAATGAGCATTGACGGGTTGCCATAGATGGAGCTACTTCCAAAATTGCTGTTTAACTGTTTTTTTTTCCGCCGCGCCTTTTTTTAATGGATGTAAAATGATGTAAAATGCCAAAACCATGGATGATCTTGGGGGTACCCCTATTGTAGGAAACCCCCATAGGGGGTTCTGTACCGGATTTTTTGGTGGAAAACCCCTAAATCATCCTAAATCTAATGGTTAGTCATCGTTGTCCCTGTTATACAATGGTAATTTTCAGAGTATGGCGCTCCATTTTTTTGACTCACCCATATCACAAGAAAGGTCATCTCAATTGCGCAAGTGTTTTAAAGTCATGGCCTGAAATTGAACTCACTCGGAACACAAAAGGATTATATAGTTATAATAATAAATAAATATATATATATATATGTATTATAAATCCAATTGAATGGAATGAAAGCCCACGCACCCAATATTAAATACCACCCACATGGGCCCTAAAAATGATAAGATCCAATACTTTCAATATTGGATCAGGGTTTCCAGCGTTGTATTTAACATTAGGGGCAAGGGATAACCGGAGGGAACCAGCGGCGACTGGGTCCCCAACCTCCTGAGCTGTTGTGATGTTGACGTCATACCTCAGGTCAGTCACAACCAATGGATGCTACAGCAGCCGGCGCCAAAATTGGTGACCACCAGCTTGATGGCATTGGCGATTTTTCAGAATCCAAAACTGACCCAGAGGCATATCTTATATACAATTATTTAAATATTTTAAATGATTTTTCAACAGCTCCCATTTTCTTTGATCATCAATTCATGGCTTCTCAGCTGTTGAACTTCAAGCTCCAAAACCAATGGATTGGCTTCGAGGAATTCTTTTTCCGAAAACCATGGGATGTTCCAGGGTTTCCTTAGTACCTTCTGGTTATTTAACGTAGCTATGGAAATCACCGTTAGGTCATCATGAATAATCTATTTTTATGGGCCATGGCTTCGCTATTTTAAATCACCAGAGGGTAAATCCCGCGAGTCAAATCCCATGAAATCCCATCATCATCCCATCATTCATCACCATCAAAACACCATGAAATCCACCATTTTATCATCATTCATCACCATTAACCACTATTAACTCTGGTTGGTGGTTTTAACCAGCTTGAAAAATATTAGTCAATCAAAAGAATTATCCCATATATTACGGAAAATAAAAAATGTTTGAAACCACCAACCAGAACTGATGTTAATCACTATCAACTGATGTTCACTGTGATTAAATCACCTATCATATCATAACCATTAGTCTGGGTAAATTCTAATATTTCACTAACCTGAATTAAGGAATTAAGGCCATTTGGGGATGATTTCCCTTACCCTCTGGTAATTTAACATAACTATGGAAAGATCCACCATTTTTCATGGGCAAATCAACTACAAAAGGCAATTTTCAATAGCAGCTGTTAGTTTACCAGAGGCTATAATCACCATTAATCACCATTAATTTGTCATTATTAACCACTAGTAATCACTATTAATCACTATAAAAACCCATGGATTCCCCGGGCTCGGTCGCGGCCAGGGCTCGGTTCCCTTAAGGCTTCGCCAAGGCGCTCCGCGAAGGCTGCCAGGTCCGCCGCAGTGGCATCGTCGGCGGTGGTGGTGGTGGACGTGGTGGACGGCCTTCGAGGCGGCGCGCGCAACGGGGAAGGGAAAAGGGATGGAAAAAGGGGAGGAAAACATGTGAAAACTGGTGGAAACTATGCAAAATAGGGTTATAACATTCAAAACATGTTAAAACATGTTAAAACATGTTAAAAACTGTGAGTTTACCCACCATGAAACATGGAGGTTTGATGAAGATTTGATGAACACCTATGGGATGTGCTAGTTTTGTTGGACGAAAGATGGATGGCGGTGTCGTATGGATTTGATCGATGTGGTCATGGGGACATAACCAATGACCATGTGGCTTATGTAGTTCGACGTGTCTACCATAAACCCTTTGGTTAATTCACCCAGGCTAAACACCATTAGCATCGGCTATCATATATCCAGTTATATAATCAATCTGAGTATCAATTTCATTCAATTTCCATGTTTCTTAGTTAAATATAGTTAAGTTAAATGATGTCAAATCATGCTCAATCATATCCCATAGGATCCATGGTGCTGGTATATATGCTAACATTTGGGGCCTATTGATGGGATCCATGTTACCATATATAGCAGCACCATGGATCCTATGGGTATTGAATCATGTCAAACTCCCATTGGATCCCCATGTTTTACGGCTTAAATTCCCGTAAAAGCTGTTAGCACTGTACCTCCAAAAGATCTCTGGGCCCGTGTGGCCCACCATCCGGGAGCAGTAAGCCTGCGCAAAGCAGCTTTATTGATGGGAAAATGATGGGAAAATGATGGGACATGGATTGATTTTTTATTTTTGATGGTGTTCAATTGACAGCACTGAGATTCAGCAAGGAAAAAGCATTCAAGTGTGTTTCCAGTGTGATGCCAATTCCATTTTTCTTGCTGAATACCATGTCGCCATGCTGAGCAGCATAGAAGGGCTCCGCTGCAGTGAAGTTCCGCAGTCCATATCTGCACACCGTACCACTGTACCTTGATACCCAATGACGAGCTCCAACATGCTGCCAGTTCCAGATGTCAATGAGCTTATGACACATGTTATGCCTACACATAACTTGCCGTCTGCTTAGGATATCTTAGGATTTTGATTGGGACTATGGAGACTGATTGAGGAGTATGTAGAATGGTGGCCCATCGTCGATGGTACAAAGATCAAGGACACGGTGGATCTCTACAATTTCATGGTGAGTTACTGTTCTATGTGTTTGATGTGTTTCAAAAACCATTAGTCAACAGTCAACAATGGCCGAAAACAGATTGACCACTACAATGTACCTTTGGTTGTGAATGAAGCCGCGGACAATGGGCAGTGCCTTTCCGTTGAATTGAAGAAAAAGTGATAAAAGGACATCTAAACTATGCTGGCCAATATGTTCGCTCGACACTACAGCAAGAACTCTTGAACCTAAATAAATTAATACATATTAATACGATTAATATTCAAAGTACGCTCGTGCATCTCTCATATATATAAAAAGCGGTTTGATATACTAGAATTATCGCAATTTATTTATATATATATATAAATCTTTACCTGTGCTATCTTGTGTTTTTTCTTGTTTGATCATTCATCTGCTAATAGCGATTCACATCATTTTACATCTATTCCGCTGGATCTTCACGTTCACTCCTGCCAGGGGACTGGTCGACGCTTCCAGCCAACGCATCCATGACGTGGGTGTAGATCTTCAGCTGGCTGTGGGTGTCCGAGGGCGTCATGTCTTTTGAGTATTTATCGCGAGCGATGCACTGAAAGCCAGGAGCTGCTATGACATAGGTGTCATACGACTTGTCCTCGTTCTTCCTTGGCCGGTCAGAAATGCTTAGAATAACCAAAGTGAGGGGACATTGTCCTGGGTAATGGATCTAGGGGGCAGGGGCATGACCAGCATGTCATTTGTTCTTGTTCTCTGAATGGTATCTGGAGCATTTAGAAACCAACACCAACACTTTGCATACGCATGGTAGTTCCAACATCTGAAGGCTTCTCATTGTGTGTTCAGCAATTTCGGAGCTGGAATCTTCCACCCCAACGGTCATCGCAGCATGTGAGGGTCTCAGTTCTATGGCAACCTGTCGATTGAAGTGTCGGTTTAGCACTTTGGAACTGGAACCTCTCATTTGCTGGGTGGTCGCTCTTGTTTGTGATCCTTGCAGTATGTGAGCGATGCCAGGTCTCACTTAGCATGCAGCTGTTGTTAATCTGTTGTTCCCGATATATATTCTATATTATGCCGTGTGAAATTGACAATTGTTTTCTCGCAAATCCAATTAGTTACTGCAAAACCCGTTGAAATTCTGGTTCAAAGGTATCGGTTTGTCGAAAAATGACCCTTTTGGGGTGGTTGATTGCTGCTCCATGGTTGTAAGCCTGGAAGTGATGAGGTAAAATTCATCTTATCTTGAACACCCATGATTACAAAAGATAAAACCGTCTTGATCTCTCTCCTTTAGGGGTTCTTCAGCCACTCTCAATTCAGCCAGCGTCTTCAACCACATGCTGATCAGCGCGGCATGTGATCCACCAAGCCCCGTCCCAGCCAGGTAGACCGTCTTGGTAAACGAAGCGCCTTCCGCCAGGACCTTCCGGACCACGAGCTTCATCAACGGCCACAGACCTTCATCCTGCAGATTTGCCACCGACACCTCAGAGGCCACCGAGACGGCGGTCTCGTCGCTGATGGGCGCGTAGGTCTCGTTCAAGAAGCCGCAGCGCACTGGAAATTCGTAGGTGTCGGCAGCCTTCCTGCAGCCAGAAAACAAGGTGGCCTTCATGGGTACAACTACAGTATGGGATTTTATATGACTATGTCAACCTCCATAAATTGGGATACAACCCGTACACTTATAAAATCAAATTCCATCTATTTTAGGAAACCAAATTTGGGAAACATATATGTTTTTTTCATGTCATGTTTTTTTTCATGATTTTAATATGGTTTCGATATGATTGTAACATATGGTCTTGATACGCTCCGAAATTTGGGTTATGATTTTGATATGTTCTTGTTATGATTTGGATGTGGTCTGGGTTATGATTTTGACGTGGTTTTGGAATGTTGTGGATATGATTTTGATATGGTTTGATATGGCGTGGGAACGGAGCAGCCTTTTCAGAGTTCCCAATGGGTTGGCTTAGAAAAAAAGAAACAGAAACAGCCCCGGGACAGGCTTCTGGTCGATTTCTGGAGGGTTTTTGTTGTTTTGATATGATTTTGAATGATTTTGATATGGTTTTCTTTTTGATACGATTTTGATACGATATGTTGTATAACCCACTTACGCCCACCTAGTGAACTGCATCCCCAGTAGGGAATATCGTATCATGGGGTTTAACCGATCTCAACAGAAATGCCCTAGCAATAATCGATGGGTCAAATCCGCCTTTACAAGAAGTCCCTGAAAACAAGCCGGTCAAAAACGGGGCTGCCAAAACTGGGGTTGGTTGAATCCTCCTGGGTTGAATCCTCCAGCACAAAACATGGGACATCCCAACTGTTCGAATCTTTTCCACGGATCACTGGATTCACTGGATCACTGGATTGGTCTAAGGGAAAATCTACAGGAAACCATGGTTTTTACCATCAAATATAGGGCTTTCCTGTAAATTTTCCCATAATCCAATTCTATGACTGGAGGCTTTGGGGAATTCATTGGAGGATTTGGTGAAGTGATTGTTCGCCAGCACGGGTGATCTGGGTGTATAGTTTCTCAACAGCCAGCGAGCTATTTGCCTAATATATGTAGACCCTGAATAATGGCCGACCTGGATCGATGGATCGATGGATGGATGGATGTATGGATGGGTGGTGTTATGTAACATGTTGATGCTCTTATATCATGATATTGTCTGTTGCTATGCAGAATGTTTATACTCTTACAGCATTATATTGTCTCGTGCCAGGTGGCTAAAAAATCAGATAACAACGGGATGACACTTGGAATCTTGAACTTCCTGACCAGGGGTAATGACCGCTACTAGCAAGTGGAAGGATCGTCCGAGTATGTTTGACTGGAGCTACTAATGCCCAATAGTCAATAGAGGTTCCTGAGCCATCCTGTGCTTCTAATTTGCCCCTTAGCACGTCAATATATACATACATCTTATATATAATATATGACACACACACACACACATATATATATATATATATCAATGTTGACCAGATTTACCCTGATATCATTTTTTTTGGGTACTTACAAGGTTGTATTCGTAGATAGTCCAGTGCCAAATATCCCATAGCAATCCCATCCGTGCCTCCCTGTCACCTCGCTGGAGGTTGCCTGCTGGGCATTCAGAATCCATTGCTCCACCATGGCGTCCCTGGCCGAAACAACTCCCATGAGGATGGTGAAAAATGGTGATGACTTACCCGTACTGGTTATGACATTGCCAGTTCGCCATGGGATGGATGGCCCTAATCGAAATAGATTGTTTTTTCCGAACTAAAAAATGGGTGGAATGGAATCCATGGCGAACTGTTAGTCATAACCAGATGGTATACGGGGATGATATGGCTTTTAAAAAGGCTTTACTGAATAAACATCATCCCATTGCTAGGGCGGCCTAGCGGCTAGCAACTGGGGATGGTTTACAATTGGGTTTGCCACACTAGATTTGGAGGACATGAGAAAGATCAAATGGCTCACTTTGCTGTAGATTTGGAGACATAAAACATCATGAAACTACCAACACCCCCCCAAAATAGATGTGCTTCTGCAAATTTGCAGGAACCATGTAACAACATATAACAACTATATCCATAACCCCAAACTTAAAAGCTGAAACTATGCTACTGGCTGTTTGTTCAATCCTAAAACTTCACCCGAGACTTGGAATGACTTGGAACTAGCGTGTCAGCCAGGGCAGCCAGGGGACTCGAAGGATTCGATCAGCCAAGCTTTGTTTTGCCAGATGAGGTTGTTTCGATCAGTCTCTCCAAGTCCAGCCTGAAAGACCTCAAGGAGTGTCACTGAGTGTCACTTGGCTCCCCGATTCAGATGTTGTTTTGGGATGTTTTGGGGATAAAAAAACACGTAAACAAAAATAATCTCGTGCGTAATGAACGTGCAGAACTGCCTGCTGTTTCAATTCTTAGGGTGAAAACCAGAGTGCCAGTGGCACCAGGGTTTGATTCCATTCCCCCTCAATTATCAAGTCATCCCAAGGATTTCCATCTGGGCAATACGACAGTAATGCATTTCTCGCGGCCTCCTAATAGTAACCCCAACAAGGATAGAAAGGACATTCACAGGGTTGCTATTCCCATATTACTACAGTAGGGTTACTATTAATGCCTATATTAATCACCCCAATATTCACCACTATTTCCAGGGGGATGTTTCTTTTTTTTATTAGCCCCTGACCTTCAAGACCTCCGGCCAAGGCACCACGATCATGGAACTATCGTCCTCGTAGTGCGACATGGCCACCCCTTCGTCTCCGAAGCATCGTTCGCCCGTGCTGCCCGTCTGAGCACCTGTGGGGATGGTGCCAATGTCTGGACAACTGCAAACATGGGAATTGAAGCAGCAACAAATGGGGAGTTAACAAAGAAAAATGTGATTTAACGAAGAAAGTGGGGCTTTGACTTGGAATTTACCGGAGATTTGTTACTACGACAGGGGATTGATCCATAAATGAGCTAAGTTTGTTGGAACATGTTTGAACATAATATACCTGTTGGGTCTTTAGACATATCACTAATATTCACTAATGGTGTTCAGGTGTTCAAATAATGCCAACAAGCATAACTGCTGGGGCAACAGCTTCTAATACGCTCAGACGCCACCATTGACATTGACAGCCTAGTTATATGGTAAAGCTATGTAAAGCTCCGATCAGCTCGGCGATTTCTTTGGGATGATCCCAGTAAATCCACTCCTGGTTGGTGGTTGAGCCAACCCCTCTGAAAAATGATGGACTGAAAGTCAGTTGGGATGATGAAGATCTCCCAACTGAATGGAAAAATAATCCAAATGTTCCAAACCACCAACCAAACTCTTTTGCAGGAAAGTATCAATGGATCCTTTGGGTCCAAATTACCCCTTGACCCGACTCCACCCCTGTCCCAGTGGCATCCGGTCTCGCGCGATCCCTCGAAATAGTCTGATTTATAGGAAGTTCCCATGACCTAAGTCGCTTTGGCCGTAGGCACCAAAAGGCATCCAAATGCAAGATGTCGACGCAGCGGATGGGTATCTGTGCACAGTGAAAACTTAGATAACCTAAACAAAATTGCGGGCTATTATACACAATATATAACTTAACTATATATTGTTTTTCTAGTTATACATATTAATTATAATATCTACATGTGCCTGTGTGTCTTTGTTACCACCACTTATGCCAAAGGATTAAGCTACTCAACTATACACTATCAGTACTAAACTATACCCATCCGATAGGTTTACTCAGTACCACTTAGCAAATTCCAACTGCAAGATGATGTCTAAAATGTACGTGTTGAGACCATAGCCAGCTTGTGCCAGGGCAACATACGACGGCAAGTTTGCTTCTGGGCACTGTCTTGATCTGCGCGCGGCTGTCTGTTAAAACTTGCTTTTCCTTGGAACCGGTCAGATCAAAGAAGCACAGTGCTCAAGAATTAAACCAGGCGAAAATGGTCGTACCTCTGTGCTGTTTCAGGCACAAACAACACAAGCCCTTTGTGCACTCTAGGATGCAGCGATGCAGATGATGCAGTTCCACATAGAAATAACTAGTTTGCAGTATATCCCCATATAGTTTGATACTTAAAATCCCTACCTTTTCATACCTTTTCTGATTTTTCTGTGGTTTCAACCCCCCTACTTCATCGAACCAACCGAACCAACCATCAATTCATCTGCTGTTCACCAAGGTTTCGGCCAAGGCCAAGGCTCTATCTGAGCCAAGTCTTGGAACTTTGTGTCGTTTGACAATGTCAAGCAATCAGTATCATTGGTTTCGTTATCGCACCAGTTCACATATAAGCCTTGGATTGCTGGCACTGGACACCGTGGATTAAGCGGTGGAGATTCCCCTTAAGAAGATTACCCGGTGTGGATGTTCCATTGGGAAAATAGAGAATCAACAAAAAGCAAACCCAGGAAGCTAGTTCCGTTGTCGTACATTGGCTTCCACTTCTCATAGTGATACGTCACCTCGCAGCAGTGGCGTGCCAGTTGCTGTCCCAAAAGTGCATATTTTTTCTTAAAGAGGAGCCGGACTTCTTAGCGTTGATCCGATGAACTTGAGTTCATCACTGATTTTCAGATCCATGCGAGATGATATGAGCAAATACCGTAGGTCCTATGTTTGCACTGAAATCTTGATGTTGCTTAATATCAGTCATCATGTTCCTTGTACTGCAACTGCCTGGCAAGGAAAGGGACCTTGCTCGCTGCGATTCATCTACCAAACTGCTACCGAAACCAATACCGCCGATTGGTGGTGACAACCGCCGCCAAGAAGTTAAAAGAAGCAACGTGGCTCATCCTAAATTGGAACCAAGTGGGCCAAACATATCTGCTATCTGATCTATGACAAGGCACGTTGTATGCCGCCAAAGGCATGCTCGCCTTGGCATGTTCAGGTGGGGATGCAATTGGGAACAAAAATGACCGATACAAACCTGTCCTCAAAGATCCTTAGCAGAGTGTGATAAAATGCTACGCAGAGACCTTACTTTCGACATGTCGGATGAGTAAAATATCAAACATATCGGGACATCAGTGAAAATCATATGGGAAACTATGAAAAAGCTGTGTTCCAGGTTCCAAGCTTTTTTTGGGGGGGGGACCCAACACTTTCCAATTTGTGCAAAGACCTCTTCTTGTGAGTTGGAGGTTTCATGATGGGTCCCCATCGCTTGGGAAAGCCTCAGGAGCCAAGGTGCCGCCAAAACTGCTGTGACGGAGAGAACCTGGTCGCGCGGGGTTCGATATGCGAAGCCAATCTTGGCAGCGCTCTGCAGGATTTCCGATTTGGGATAGGTGCTCAGCAGTCCTTAGAACGGCAGCTTTGTGGTGTAAGGCAGCTGAGTTTCAGCTGTTGGGATGATTTAAAGTTGGCTGGTTGGGATCTGGAATCTGTTCCAAGATATGCCAATTATTGGGAGGAATATAGAGGATATAGATATAGTATGACATAGTCGTATAGATATAGTTGTTAGTACAAATATAGTTGTTAGATATAGTTGTAAATATATAAATATATAGATATATATATATAAAACAAATATATATATATATATTTAGCATGTATATATATAATATAAAATATATTATATATGTTTAGATAACATATATATATATATGTATATAACCTATATATATATAATAATCCTGGAGTAGATAGAATCCAGTTTCGTAGGGGGCGTTTTTTTTTTAAAAAAAAAACATGGTTTTTTGACCCAATACTAAACTATATATTCGGACCCCCTAGATAGAATATTCCAAAATCTACTCCAGGATGCTCAAAATGTGTTTTTTTCCTTTCCTTTTCAAAACCTTCCAATTTATTTTTTTCTTTCAAAGTTTCCTTTTCAAACAGCTGCAAAAAATGAACTTTGGATGGTAAGATCGTAGACGTAGATTCCTACTTTTTTCATTTCCTTTTCCTTTCACACTTTTCCCTTCAAAAATCTGTAATTGTGAACTTTGGATGGTAAGATCGTGGATTCCAGCTTTTCTCATGCCATGTTCCTTTCAAAGTATGATTCCTGCTCTTCTCATGTCCTTTTCCTGTCACAGTTTTCCATTCAAAAACCTTCAATTATGAACTTTGGATGGTAAGATCGTGCATTCCAATTTGTTTCCTTCCATTTTCCTTCCAAGTTTCCTTTTCAAACAGATGCGAGAATGAACTTTGGATGGTAAGATCAGCTATTCCTACTTTTCTCATGCACTCTTTCTTTCAAACACAGTTTTCCATTCAAAAACCTGCAATTTCAACTTTGGATGGTAAGATCTTGGATTCCTACTTTTTAGATGTCATTTTCCTTTTAAAGTTTGCTTTCAAACAGCTCCAAGAATGAACTTTGGATGGGTAGATGTGGAGGAAGGGGCAGGGAGCACCACCAATACATGCTTAATCTTAATCCCAAACATCCTTTAAAAAATCAGTCTTTTCATGGTTCTAGAGGATATTCTATCTATAGTTTTGCCCAACTGTCCTAGCACAGTACTAGCACAAAATGAACTTTGGATGGTCGATCTTGGATTCCTACTTTTCTATACTTTTCTCATCTCCTTTTCCTTTCACGGCTTTCTATTCAAAAACCTGCAAGACTGAACTTTGAATGGTAAGATCGTGGATTCCTTCTTTTCTCATCCCATTTTCTTTTTGTTGTTTCTTTTCAAAAACCTGCAATTTCAACTCTGGATGGTAAGATCTTGGATTCCACTTTTTAGATGCCATTTTCCTTTTAAAGTTTGCTTTCAAACAGCTCCAAGAATGAACTTTGGATGGGTAGATGTGGAGGAAGGGGCAGGGAGCACCACAAATACATGCTTAATCCCAAACATCCTTTAAAAATTCAGTCTTTTAGAGGATATTCTATCTATAGTTTTGCCCAACTGTCCTAGCACAGTACTAGCACAAATGAACTTTGGATGGTCGATCTTGGATTCCTACTTTTCTGTACTTTTCTCATCTCCTTTTCCTTTCACGGCTTTCTATTCAAAAACCTGCAAGACTGACCTTTGAATGGTAAGATCGTGGATTTCTTCTTTTCTCATCCCATTTTCCTTTTGTTGCTTCTTTTCAAAAACCTGCAATTTCAACTTTGGATGGTAAGATCCTGGATTCCTACTTTTTTAATGCCATTTTCCTTTTAAAGCTTGCTTTCAAACAGCTCCAAGAATGAACTTTGGATGGGTAGATGTGGAGGAAGGGGCAGGGAACACCACAAATACATGCTCAACTTCAAGCATCCTTTAAAAATTCAGTCTTTTCATGGTTCTAGAGGATATTCTATCTATAGTTTTGCCCAACTGTCCTAGAACAGCACTAGCAAAAATGAACTTTGGATGGTCGATCTTGGGTTCCTACTTTTCTATACTTTTCTCGTCTCCTTTTCTTTTCACAGCTTTCTTTTCAAAAACCTGCAAGACTGAACTTTGAATGGTAAGATCGTGGATTTCTTCTTTTCTCATCCCATTTTCCTTTCGTTGCTTCTTTTCAAAAACCTGCAATTTCAACTTTGGATGGTAAGATCCTGGATTCCTACTTTTTTAATGCCATTTTGCTTTTAAAGCTTGCTTTCAAACAGCTCCAAGAATGAACTTTGGATGGGTAGATGTGGAGGAAGGGGCAGGGAGCACCACAAATACATGCTTAATCTTAATCCCAAACATCCTTAAACAATTCAGTCTTTTCATGGTTCTAGAGGATATTCTATCTATAGTTTTGCCCAACTGTCCTAGCACAGTACTAGCACAAATGAACTTTGGATGGTCGATCTTGGGTTCCTACTTTCTGTATTTTTCTCATCTCCTTTTCCTTTCACAGCTTTCTATTCAAAAACCTGCAAGACTGAACTTTGAATGGTAAGATCGTGGATTCCTTCTTTTCTCATCCCATTTTCTTTTTGTTGTTTCTTTTCAAAAACCTGCAATTTCAACTTTGGATGGTAAGATCTTGGATTCCTATTTTTTTAATGCCATTTTCCTTTTAAAGCTTGCTTTCAAACAGCTCCAAGAATGAACTTTGGATGGGTAGATGTGGAGGAAGGGGCAGGGAGCACCACAATACATGCTTAATCCCAAACATCCTTAAAAAATTCAGTCTTTTCATGGTTCTAGAGGATATTCTATCTATAGTTTTGCCCAACTGTCCTAGCACAGTACTAGCACAAAATGAACTTTGGATGGTCGATCTTGGATTCCTACTTTTCTGTACTTTTCTCATCTCCTTTTCCTTTCACGGCTTTCTATTCAAAAACCTGCAAGACTGAACATTGAATGGTAAGATCGTGGATTTCTTCTTTTCTCATCCCATTTTCCTTTTGTTGCTTCTTTTCAAAAACCTGCAATTTCAACTTTGGATGGTAAGATCCTGGATTCCTACTTTTTAGATGCCATTTTCCTTTTAAAGTGTGCTTTCAAACAGCTCCAAGAATGAACTTTGGATGGGTAGATGTGGAGGAAGGGGCAGGGAACACCACAAATACATGCTCAACTCCACGCATCCTTTAAACATTCAGTCTTTTCATGGTTCTAGAGGATATTCTATCTATAGTTTTGCCCAACTGTCCTAGCACAGCACTAGCAAAAATGAACTTTGGATGGTCGATCTTGGGTTCCTACTTTTCTATACTTTTCTCGTCTCCTTTTCTTTTCACAGCTTTCTATTCAAAAACCTGCAAGATTGAACTTTGAATGGTAAGATCGTGGATGATTTCTTTTCTCATCCCATTTTCCTTTTGTGGTTTCTTTTCAAAAACCTGCAATTTCAACTTTGGATGGTAAGATCTTGGATTCCTACTTTTTTAATGCCATTTTCCTTTTAAAGCTTGCTTTCAAACAGCTCCAAGAATGAACTTTGGATGGGTAGATGTGGAGGAAGGGGCAGGGAGCACCACAATACATGCTTAATCCCAAACATCCTTAAAAAAATCAGTCTTTTCATGGTTCTAGAGGATATTCTATCTATAGTTTTGCCCAACTGTCCTAGCACAGCACTAGCAAAAATGAACTTTGGATGGTCGATCTTGGGTTCCTACTTTTCTATACTTTTCTCATCTCCTTTTCCTTTCACGGCTTTCTATTCAAAAACCTGCAAGACTGAACTTTGAATGGTAAGATCGTGGATTCCTTCTTTTCTCATCCCATTTTCTTTTTGTTGCTTCGTTTCAAAAACCTGCAATTTCAACTTTGGATGGTAAGATCTTGGATTCCTACTTTTTAGATGCCATTTTCCTTTTAAAGTTTGCTTTCAAACAGCTCCAAGAATGAACTTTGGATGGGTAGATGTGGAGGAAGGGGCAGGGAGCACCACAAATACATGCTTAATCCCAAACATCCTTTAAAAATTCAGTCTTTTAGAGGATATTCTATCTATAGTTTTGCCCAACTGTCCTAGCACAGTACTAGCACAAATGAACTTTGGATGGTCGATCTTGGATTCCTACTTTTCTGTACTTTTCTCATCTCCTTTTCCTTTCACGGCTTTCTTTTCAAAAACCTGCAAGACTGAACTTTGAATGATAAGATCGTGGATTTCTTCTTTTCTCATCCCATTTTCCTTTCGTTGCTTCTTTTCAAAAACCTGCAATTTCAACTTTGGATGGTAAGATCTTGGATTCCTACTTTTTAAATGCCATTTTCCTTTTAAAGCTTGCTTTCAAACAGCTCCAAGAATGAACTTTGGATGGGTAGATGTGGAGGAAGGGGCAGGGAGCACCACAAATACATGCTTAATATAATCCAAGCATCCTTTAAAAATTCAGTCTTTTCATGGTTCTAGAGGATATTCTATCTATAGTTTTGCCCAACTGTCCTAGCACAGCACTAGCAAAAATGAACTTTGGATGGTCGATCTTGGGTTCCTACTTTTCTATACTTTTCTCGTCTCCTTTTCTTTTCACAGCTTTCTATTCAAAAACCTGCAAGACTGAACTTTGAATGGTAAGATCGTGGATTATTTCTTTTCTCATCCCATTTTCCTTTTGTTTTTCTTTTCAAAAACCTGCAATTTCAACTTTGGATGGTAAGATCTTGGATTCCTACTTTTTTAATGCCATTTTCCTTTTAAAGTGTGCTTTCAAACAGCTCCAAGAATGAACTTTGGATGGGTAGATGTGGAGGAAGGGGCAGGGGGGAACACCACAAATACATGCTCAACTCCAAGCATCCTTTAAAAATTCAGTCTTTTCATGGTTCTAGAGGATATTCTATCTATAGTTTTGCCCAACTGTCCTAGCACAGCACTAGCAAAAATGAACTTTGGATGGTCGATCTTGGATTCCTACGTTCTATACTTTTCTCATCTCCTTTTCCTTTCAC